TCTTGACTACGTTGGTAGCAAGTAAAGAAGAAGCGGAAATAGCTAAGACGATCGATAAGGCTATAAGGCTTCAAAACCCGACTCAGGTGGCCCAGGTAGCTCAAGTACCACTTTCTGTTCTGACACCGCCATTCCGCTTTCCCGCTGCTGGGCGAACGACTAGGGCTACAGCACCGTATACCCGTCGTAACCGAGGCMCGAGGAGGTGTTTTGTCTGTAACGCGGAGGGGCACATTGCACGATTTTGTCCCACTAATTCACTTAATGTAAAGCGCCGCTAGGTGGCACTAGGTTCGAATTGATTTGTGAGAACGGACTTTGCGAGGAAATGGATGATCGAATGAAATAATGCGTATATTACTTTACTGCATAAACAAGTTGCATCAGATATTTTGTTTTGTTTTTGTTTTAACTCGGGAAAAGAACCTCCCGCAAGCGTATTGCCCATTAGGGCATGCCCTTGAGCCCGCTTTAGCGAGCTGTGTGGTGGTCGCCTTTTTCCTGGGCTTGGGTTAAAATTTCACCTTACTCTCGTTTTACGATCTTATTTACAGTTGGCAATAGTTTTCAACCCCTTGTGTGTAGAGGGAACAGCCCACGATAAAGAGATTAGATGGGTCCAAGCGGATGGAAGCCCAAGTTCAGRAAGGGTGACTAGCACTTCCAGTGCTGTGCTCGCTGACATAGACCGAGTGATAAGTGGGGAAAAAGCGGATTTCGGCATGCTTCAGTTTCGTGACCCTGAAAGCTTCAGGGCGGGGGAGATTCATAGGCATATCCCGATGTGTGGAAAAATCTTGGAGAACAACCTAGTAGGTGACCAGATCCTACGATGGCTCCAAAATGGAGTGAACGTTAAAGATTTTATACAACCATTTAAGGGAATTTTTAAAGGCATCAAGTGCGACTCGCCATCGCCCCCTAGACAAATGTTCAAAAATCATCGATCTTGTGACCGATTTCAAGAATTTATCTCGATAACTCTCGCTGATCGCATCCGTTCAGGCGCTGTTCGGAAGGTCGATCCCCCTTGGCTGGTCTTACCTTTAACGGTCGAACCTAATAAGCCTTGTTTGTGCGTGGACGCAAGATTCCTAAACTTGTGGATGAGGGATACGCCTTTCAAGCTCGACATCCTGGTGTCAGTCCCCCAGTTTGCGTACCCTGGTTCATACCTTTCGAAGATAGATGACAAATCGGGGTATGATCATGTTCTTCTGTCAGAGGACTCCCAACAGTACTTTGGGGTCGAGTGGAAGGGGTGGTGGCTTGTTGGAACCACACTCCCGTTCGGTTGGAAAAACTCTCCGTTCGTCTACCAGTCCATTGGTCTAAGTTCAACCACATTCCTCCGGGAAAGAGGCATCACCTCTTGCCTATACATCGATGACTGGTTGTTAGGCGAAATCTATAGTGAGGAGGGAAGATGGTCTCGCAGATTGGAGATAAGAGATGATGACTTTAGCCGGGAAGCGGCGGTGGCGGCGTTGTACGTGACTTGCGCAGTGTTGTTAGGTTTAGGCTATTTTCTTGGCCTTAAGAAGTGCATACTTTTACCCACTGTCAAAATTCAGTTTCTCGGAATGATCATTGATACACAGGCGCAAGCATTCTCAGTCCCACGAGATAAGCGTGTTAAGTTTGCAGAGTTACGAGAGGCCATCTTATCGT